AATTGACACATTTATGCTGAAGATTGCAGCTTTTTGAATGTTTGCATGAAATTCATATGTTAGTTAGAAAAACTAAAGGAAAAAGAATTTGAAGAGAAAAAAGTTTTATGTTCCATTTTAGTGGGTGTTCCAAAAGTGGAATGCTAGGCCTTGATAGTTTAATAGCAAAAACTGTGCCACCCTGGCAATAGCAAAAGAAAATCAGCAATAATAATAGTATCAAAAACAAACTGGATATTGACCTACCCTAAGAACCAATAATGTACTACACTTCACCATAGGAAACTGATCTATAATTATGAGTGCTAAGACAAACCAAATATTGAAATACAGTAATATCTACTAAGTTAAACAACTATACATCCACTGATAATAGAGAAGTGTACAGCAGTAATAGTTTAGTTTTAACTAACTAAAACTTAATAAAGCTTAATGGTTATACTAATAAAGTTGGAAGGGATAGGGATCTGGAGAATGATAAAGGCAAGTTTGAAAAATTGATCAATTGGAATGAGGTGGTGAGAAAAGTAAGATAAAGTATCCTAACAGAGTAAAAGGAAATTAATAGAACTAGATAAAGTAACAAAATAAGAAACAAATAAAAGAAGGAAAAAGAAAAGACAGCCAAATAAAAAGCAAAAAGAAAATAAGTAAAATAAAATAAAAGGAGAAAAAATCTGAATCCTTAAAATCCACTGAAGGAAAAAAGGACCAAAAAAATAGGGTGGAAACAAAAAAGTTCCTCTCTGTTTTTAAATGAGTTGTTTCTTTCTAGGATCTCCAGTCTTGGAGTCCAACAAGCCACAGTTTTCTCCACCTAACTTCATGGCCTGTGGGTTTGTGAGTGCCCCTCGCCTTTTTAGAGGTCCCTCTGCCCATGCACCTTAGTGATGGCAAAACTTAGAGACCAAGTGCCCAAGCTGCAACCTAAAACACAGTTATTTATTGCAAAGTGCTGACATTGCAATTAAACCTGAATAGTGAGGTTTTACTTCAGAAACAACAACTGTTATCTGATGCTTGGCTGCTAGAGTGACTTGCCTCATGTGCCCACAGAGAGGTGCCTGCTGCAGCATACATGCCATAGGTTTGCCACCAGTGTCCTAGCCCTGTGAGAACCATCCAAGGCATATCCTTGCTTATGTTGGTATATTGGGAAAACATTCAGACCACTGGTCTCTGCTGGATGTAGGCAACAGTACGTGGGTTCAAACAGACCATTGGACTTAATGCCAGCACTTTCAGATCCAGCCACCTCTGAAGGCATACTACATGGTCCTGGCTTCTTACCTCTGAGTGTGAGGCCCCATGTCCATGCTAGGGTGAGCTTAAACCTCTCAGGAGGTCTATATCTAGGCTGCACCCTCTCTACAGCTATCTTTTATGGCTGTCTCACCCATGCTATCTCTCACCCGGTCACTGTGGTAAGTGTAATACTGGAAACCCTGAAGTGAAGTTGTTCAGCTGTTATTCTGTTGTTCAGTCTTAAACAGTCCCTTATTCTGTTGTTCAGTCCTAAGCAATCCTTTCCCAAAGTGATTCCTGATTCAGCCCTCTCCAGTATGGCAGTCAGGGCATGAGATTTCTTTTTCAAGTCTAGTTTGTTGTGAAGGAATAACTTTCAGAGTAAAATCCCATATTGTTCTGGTAGTTTGATAGTTGTGGGTTTTTCCTGGTGCTAGCCCTGCTGACTGACCCAATCTGTTCATTTCTCCCTAGACGTGCTGGCCCTCTGGTCATACCTTCTTTCCCTGGGCATTCAGGTAGCTCACTTGGTCAACATTTCTGCTGCCCCTTGCCAAGGTGAAAGAAAATATGAAGCAGACTTGGAGTTGACAGATGGCCACAGGCAGGGCACAGAATCCTTGGACACAGGGTGGGCTGGAGCCAAGCCTATATGCCTCCATCCATGGTTCTATATTTCAGCCACAGTGTAAAGATTTTTCTGTGTCCGTGAGGTCAGCTTGTACCAGTAAGATCTGGTTGTTCAAATTTCTGTAATTTTGTGAGCCTGATGTTAAACTGTATGTACCTTGAAATCAACTGCCAAATGAGCATTTACACAATGGGGAGCAATAAGCACAGCAATCGGAATTGTTTCGTTATTGCTTTTCTTTTGATTTCAATTTTCAGGAAGCCAGTTATTGAACTTTCATAAGCATACTACTTTTTCTAGGCTTACCCTCTAATTCTAGACCAACTTCCAGCCTTACTAATCACTTACCAATCCAATTATTTAAATACAGGATGACCAAAATTTGCATATTTTTTCATTAATTTTTATAAAATAACAGGAATTATAAAAATGACAATTTTATCAAATTTATTCAGTACAAAAATTGACTGATTGACATGACACGGCTTGAGTGATGTTCAGGATGGTATGTAGACAAATGTGCTGTCAGAGAGACGCTCTGTGAGAACCATCCAAGGCATATCCTTGCTTATGTTGGTATATTGGGAAAACATTCAGACAGAAAACATATCTGTGTAAGGAGATAATGAGGGTAGTAATACCAGTGCTGCGTAGGGTATTGTACTGATGATGAAGTGAGACAAGATGTATTTAAAAGGGTAAACTGTTAAGTTAAAATTAAATTTAAATTAAACTTAATTTAGGGGCTGGGGATTTAGCTCAGCGGCAAAAGCGCCTGCCTGGCATGCGCAAGGTGTGAGTTCGGTTCCCGGAACCAGAGAAAAACCAAAAAATAAAAAAATAAACTTAATTTAATTCTTTTAAAGAATTTTGCTGTCTTTTGCCTCTGATTCCCTTGCATATATATTTCTCTTTGGATAAGACATTGCTTTCCTTTCCTCACTTGACCATCCAGTCCAATTTCGTAAAACCAGGTGATCCAGTATAGGTGAACGTGATTTTTTTTTTTTTTAATGACTAGGAGTTTAAGTATTACGAAGACATTTATTGAAGTCCTTGAAAATTAATGAAAATATAGCCATCTAATTATTTGGCAGTATCCTAAAGTAGAAAGCATTATTGGTCTTTTCCACCTGCTTTCCTAACACAAATAAAAACCATGTATCAAAGCTGAAAACACTGATCAAGTGCAGTAGTATATTCCTAGAAAACAGAAACATTTTACCAGTACTACATCTGTCTGTTCTTCACATCTTCGTTCGTGTATCTCATGTTTTAGTTTTGCCAAAGTAGGCAGTATCTTTGCTTACATAACTTTCTGGGTATGCATTTATATCCTTGTAGGAAATATTTTTAGTTAAGTGTTAGAAAGCTATTTGGTAGAAATAGTTTAAGTGTTAGAAAAAGTACACTGAAGAATAAGCCCATTTGTTTTTCTGCTCATATAGTTTGTAATGCTTGCAGTGACTTCCAAAATGTCCCAACACGTGAGTGTTTATGCTCAGTAGTCTCTGTGCTTTTTGTGAATGGTAATAGGGCTTTAGCCTGCCTGCTCTCCCCTGTTTTGTGCCTCTTTTTATCAACATTCTTAGTATTTTATAATACCAGGGTATTACAGAGGTGACACTAAAAGAGATGTGTCATCTAGTAAAGGGGACAAGGTACATCTATAAAAGAGTTAAGTAATATGAAGTAATAAGTGACTAAAACCCCAGGTAATTTTGTTATCTGGAAGGCCATGTGCTAGTTACATAATAGTGTACATGATGCCCCATCTTTCTGAACATCTACTTCCTTATCTGTGTAAGGAGATAATGAGGGTAGTAATACCAGTGCTGCGTAGGGTATTGTACTGATGATGAAGTGAGACAAGATGTATTTAAAAGTTGTAAAGATGGGCAGGTTAGGGATAGAGCTCAGTAGTACAGTGTGTGCTTAGCATGTGCAAAGCCTTGGGTTCTATCCCCAGCACCACAATAAATAAATAAAAAATATAAAATGTTTTAAAAATGTGAATTTACTATGATACTAATAGTATTAAAGATTATTATATAAAAAGAAAAAACAGGAACATTGCTTAATATGTTTCTGAGCTTTTTTCTGGGGTGTTAGTTTTTTACGTTACTTTTAAAAAGTGACACTGCCCGTTAAGGCCCCTGAGTTACTTTTCAGTTCTTTTTTCTTTTGTTCTTCATGTCCTTCACTTTGATGGATTTTTTTGGTTTCAAAAACTCCTTTCTCTTTCAGAATTGCTACCACCTACTTTACCCTTGGTTTCTTGTCCCCCAAAACCAGCCAAAATATAAGAATATAATTTTTAATTCACACAATTAGCATAGGTTGTCTGTCTCTTAAAGCTTATATAACTAATCATTAAGCAGGAAATGGAGTGTGAAAACTATGGAAACTTAACTTCCAAAATCTAAGGTTTCCAAAGGTATTCTGATATTTCTAATATCCTTTTTCAAATGGTCCTCAAAATATATCCTCTTTTCTCTGCTTTAATTCCTGGAGTTGAATATATAAAATTTTTCTTTTTCTCACTTTACCTTTTTCTAATTCACTTAGGTTCCTTCTTCCAGAGCCTTTTACTTTTTTGTGACAACCAAATCAGACTTTCTTAAAGAATTTAGGTTTTTCTTTGGCAATTCATCTTTTGTCCTTACTATTACAAAATCCAGAATGCCATTTAAATTTGCAAAGAACCAAATTACTGTATGAGTTTAGATCTTCTTTTTTCTGGACAGTGGGTACATTTGAAATGTAAGAAAAAATGAACTATTACTCTCCTAGGTTAACATTGTTGGAGACCTCCTAGGTGCTCCAGTAATCCATGAAAATTATGTGTAAATTCCTTTTGATTAAATTTTTTAAAATTTAGCACTGATAAGCTCTAGATCTATATTTTTAAGCAGTGATATATGAATTGATTAGTTGATAAATAAAATTTTCAAAGTAAATATATGTAAGAGATCATTGTATTGTGGTTTTAATTACTTAAACTTCATTATAGAAGTGAAGTAGTCATTAGTTACTATAAAAACAGTATAACTAATATTACTATTATCTAGTTATAAATTGATCTTTACATGTTTTCAGTTGATTTTACTTTTTTTTTTCCTAGCTACGTTGACAAGCTATTCTGAAAATGTGGAACGCACAAAATATGTTGGAGAAAGCAGTAAAGAATTAGGATCTGGAGGAAACCTAAAGCCATGGCAGTCTCAGAAATCCAGCATGGACTCCTGTCTGTATCGAGTAGATGAAAACATGACTGCTTCCACCTATAGTCTAAATAAGATCCCAGAGAGGAATTTGGAAACAGTTTTATCTCAATCAGTACAGTCTATTCCTTTGTATCTTATGCCACGGCCGAATTCAGTAGCAGGTAAGTTTTTTTTGTTTGTTAGTTTGTTTAAAAAAATAACCATTTTGCGGGGGTTTTGAAATGCCAATAAAGTCTATTCTAACAATTTAAATTATGTATTCATCTTTTTAAAGCTATTTTTTTGCATTTCATAATATACATGTAATTTTTTTGAACCTTGGATAAAGTTCAAAAAACCTTGGATAAGGTTCATCTTCCTTGAACAATTTCTTGGGTCTGGTTTCAAAATCTGCAGAAATGCATTTAAATCTGAAACAAAGCCTATGAAGTGCATCACCAAACTATAAGTTTTTTCTTACATATAAAGTATTTAAAAATTTTACTTTGAGGTTTTAAATTTTTAAAAACTTTAGTTTAACCAGATGTGTTGGTGCACACCTATAATCCCAGAACTTTTGGGAAGCTAAGGCCAGAAGGATCACAAATTTGAGCCCAGCCTGGGCAACTTAGCAAGACTCTGTCTCAAAAAAAAAAAAAAAAAAAAATATCACTCAGTGAGAAGACCCTGAGTTCAATCACCCATACCAAAAAAAAAAAAAAAAAAAAGAAACAATCAAACTTGTTTTTACCAAAAAAAAAATAGTCAATTAAAGCATATTTCAGTGCAGTTTATATTATCAGTTTGTATTATCATCCATAGTTTGAAGGAGTGTCAAGCGGGCAAAACATTGGCTTCCTTGTTCCCTGAGTTCGGTATTTTCACAGTATACTGGCCGTCTTACCCTAGAAGAATTACTAGGTACCTACCTTTCTGAAGAGTAACTCATGCCAGGTGTGGTGGCACCTACCATTAATCTCAGCACTCTGTATATGTGCTGCCGAAGCGAGCACAATCTCAGCACTCTGGAAGACAGAAGCAGGAGGATCGCTACTTCAAACCGAGCCTGGGCAGTTTTAGCAACTTGGAAAGACCTGGTCTCAAAATTTTAAAATAATGTTAAAAGGGCTGGAGATGTAGCTCAGTGTGCTGGCCCTGGGTTCAGTCTTTAGTACTGCCAAAAAAGAAAAAAAAAACAGTAACTCAAACCAGTGAACTCAGCTCTAATGGAATGATACAGAAGGCCCGCTGACTAAAATACGGAGTCATTGTTCTTTCACAGCTACTCAAAAGTGATGTCAGAGAGGTACTTTTAATATAGCTAAGTTACTATTTAATAATTCAAACCAGGAGCTTTTGCAGAAATAGACATTCTGACATTTTCAAAATGCATCATCATCTGGAGTTTGGCCAGACTGTGAAACAAAAGTTATGTTTGTTTTTCTCACGCTCCTGATGAATGTCTAGATAGATTTATCTCACGAATGCAGGGTAATGAAACTTTTGTTGTAGTTAACGGTTCTTATTTCCCAGATATAATTACTTGTTTTTACAGATAGTAAGGTAGTCCTTGCCATTCCCAGCTCCCTTCCCTACCAATTCTAATCCATTATTTTTTGTTCTTTCCTTTGGTAAATGATCAGTGTCTGTGAACACAAGTGATTATAGGGAGTGGCTCATCTAAAAGATTAATAACTACACAAAACTTTCATGCTCTTTATGACTATTCACTTTTACATATTGATAGCAGGTTTTTTTCTCCTGGTTCTTCTAAACACATTGATCCCCAGCTACCATGTCATATTAGAATCCTAGAATGTTGTGTTTATGAAAAGTATCAAGCAAATTATCTTTCCCAAAGGGAACCATTGAAATTCTTGCTTATATATAAATGAGGAAATGTACTACTCAGTTTTAAAGTACCTCTCAGTTTACTTCCTCTCTAGTTTAATGATTTCTAAGAAAATTCTGGCTCCATTACTTGAGAAAGGCCTTGAGCATTAACAGGAGACAGAAATACAAGCTTTATTTCTTTGGGTTGAACTATGTACTTAGTCGTAGTGAACTATGTTAATTCAGGGCTGGGTATCTCTGTTGCTACTTAATACTAACATTCTGTTAAAATTGTGTACTGCCTCGTATTCCTTACACTCCCTATTTATTTTATATGTATCCACATAGAACCACTTTTCCATGTATTAGTCAAGGACCTGCGCATTGCTTAAAACCTGTCCAGCTCTTCTGCGGCTTCTCTTAGCCCAAGCATACCCTGTAACTGCTCTGCCTCTGTATTAGTCGATTGCTCCCTGACTCTTTTAGTAGCTTGTGCCTTTAGGCCTGTAGGAAAAAAGAATGGAATAACTTACTTAATTTAATATTTAGCTATTAGTCTCAAAAAGCTATCATGGCTACTTCTAACTAGCCATCAGTCAGTTACAGGCCATGAAGCATCTACCAATTCATTCAGTACCTGGACGCCTTTCCTGGCCAAACTCAGGTACTCCCTCCTTCATGAAGCTTTCCACATCATCATCCCCTTACTTTTGTAGGTACAGATAATTTTGTCATCCTCTTAAACTCTAGTTTGTACATATTTTCTATAGTCTACTTTGCATTATGTACAGTTGTTGTATTGATCTAACTACTAAATAGAAACTTTTTGAGATTAAAAACAGAATACTCCAATAGCTGATCTGTAATTGTCAGTTGAGTGAACTAACCATTGTGTACAGGAACCAGCTGATCTGTGAAATTAACTTTAGACAAAAATAACAGTGCAGTTATTGAATCCAATATTTTTTTTTTCATTCTGCCATAAAATATATACATCTCTTAGGAGAAATGACCCCCACACCCGCAGGATCCAGATACCTTCCTTCAGAGAAAACAGAATCTATATGAGACAGTAATGTATATCAGCCACAAAACAATTTTGGATTCACTGTTAATATCTCAATATCACATTTCCTCCAGAATCACAACCTGTGGTTTTCTTTAATATATGGAAAGTATAAGCAGCATTTAGTATTATTTACTAACAACTGGCAATACATATTTTTCAGTGATTGACCAAAAACTTTTAATTCAACTGGAAGTGTAATAGAGTTGTAAAGAGAGAAAAAAAAAAAATGAGTCTCATAAGGAAGTCTTATTTCACTAAAAGAATAGTCAGCAAACCAGCGCTCAAAGGCCAAATTTGACCCACCGTATTTTGTAAATAGAGTTTTGTTTCAGCACAGCCACATTCATTTATTTCCTTAAGGCTGCTTTGGCCCTACCACAAAATTTCAGTATTTACAACAGGAACCATCTGGCACACAGAGCCTAATTATTTACTGTCCTGGCTTTTATGCAAAAGGGGTAATCCCAGCCTCCATTCTAAAATCTTCCTGGCATTCATATTCATTTGTCTCAACTTACCCCTCAGTTATACTTTTCAGATAAATATCTCACAGATAGTGCTACCAGAGAAATTGTTTTAGATTTTTATGCAAAAGTTTTATGGTATATTTCATATGACTTCATGTGGAGAATGAAAAATTTGAAAAAAAGAAAAAAAGGAAGAAAAATTTGTAAGGAATTCCATGAAAAAGAAATCGCTACTTAGCTGTACCTGTATTAGATAAGAAGGACTCTATCTAGAAAGACTTGAAAGAGGCTTCTTAAGTTTTGTTTTCTCTTAAAGTTTTACTCTTACATTTTGTCTTGTTTATCCTTGAGTTTTTATAATGTAAATTTGTCTAGACTGTCATCATCAATGTAGTATGATTGGATAATGCCCAATAATAAATTGGTTATCTCCATGAATCTAAGTCTTTGTTTTCAGAACTTGGGAATTCTCATTAAGGCAGTGAAGAAGTATTTAAGTTCAAAGGGAGAGAGTAGGGTGATGTGATAGTAAAGTACATATAAGAATTTACCAGGAAGATAAACAGGAAAGAGGAAGAATGAGGCACCAAGAGGTTAAAGAACTTCACACATAATTGGTATTTCTGTGTGGCTAGAACATGGAGTACATGGAAAGAATGATAGAAAATGATACTAAAAGTGATACAGAAGACCTTATATACTCTAACAGTAAGTACTGGATTTTTATCTTGGTAGTGGAGAATACTTTAAGAAGTTTAAACAAAAGCTGTGTTACCAAATAATCAGTTTAGAAAAATGAGTATGTCCATCTGTATAGAAAAGATTGGAGGATTCTGCCTAAGTAGAATACTCATGAAAAAAATAAGTGCTTGTGTTTACCAGAACACGTGTAAGAATATTTGTATCAGTTTCATTCCTAATACCAAATACTCGTCAACAGTAGAGTTGGTAAATAATTGTACACAGTGTACAGAGAGTACGGAGGGGACATTTGGTACATTTCACAGTTGGGATGTCGAACATAAGTCAGACCCAAGCCAGCCTTGGTGGCATGCTTCTATAATCCCAGCACTGAGGAGGCTGAGGCAAGAGGATAACCTCAACTGAAAGCCAGCCCAGGCTACATAGTAAGTTTATGGCCAGCCTGAGCTACCAAGTAAGACCCTGTCTTGAAAAAAAAGACCCCAAAAAGTGTAATTTGTATGAAGTATGTATATTCATGTAAAAGTTCAGGAAAATAGAACTATCGCATTTCTATGATGACAAAGTAGCCATTCCCTTTTGTGGGACTATTGATTAAGGGAGCTTTCTGTATCTTGATCTGAATAGTGGTCACATGGGTATGTACATATATAAAAATTGAGCTATACACTTAAGATTTATAAACTTTATATAAATCATACCACAGTTTTAAAAATAGACAGAATATATTTAGACGTCCTGTCCTAGGAAACATAATTAGATCTTTGTCTAAAATAGCTATTTTTAGTGTTACTTAACCCAGTAACTTCAACAAATGGGCAATTACTTGCAGTGTCCTATTTTACTGATGGAACAAACCTAGAATCAGTACTGAACCGAGCCAGAAATGTCTATTACTGCCCCCTTAGTTCAGTGTGTGCCTCGTTGAAATCCTAAAGGATCTGTCTCTGTGTGGGTTTTTTAAATCTTTTTTAAAAAGCAAATATATTGAGCCATATTTTACATATTATAAAATTCTCCCATTTTAAGTATACAATTTGGTAGTATTTAGTGAATTTGTCAGATTATGTAACCCTCACTATACATCAGTTTTAGAACATTTTCATAATGC